TGTCTTACTTACTTTATAATAGTGGGAATGTGTCATGATAGCTACTGACCTGTAATCTTGATGATCAGCTAATTTCCTTATGTCATCTGCAATCATGAGAAATGCCTATAAACAGATAGATGCAGTATAGGTTAGAACAAACATGCAAATGTCATACACTCTGAACTTCACTTTTACACCCCAAGCAGGGTTTTTGAGCCTCATACCTTTCCTCCAGTGATGGGCAGCTCATTCTGTTCCAACAGCCACAGTTTGTCATCAGAGTCACCAGAGTACTGTAAAGTATAAGACAAAAACATGTTCTAGAGTACAGCTACTGGTTTAAACTTGACTGTAGTAATTGACTGTGTAATTTGACAGTCCAGAAGAAGGTATTTCTGAAGAATAATGTTGTCAGGCATCATCAGAATCCATTGTGATTGTGACTTTCCCTCTCTGTTTCTACCCACAGTCATTTTCAGGCCCCTCCCCACCTGTTGTTTATACATCATGATCAACATCCACAAATAAAGATTTCAAGGTGACCCAAACTTTTTTAACCCAAGGGTGACCAGCATCAAGTTTCTCCTTTCAGCAATACTGCAGAGTTGTTCATCAAGATCATGACAAAACCGGTACAGATAATGATTGCCAAACTAAGAAGCTTTGATTGGTAAACAAATTCTCCTTGCAGAGGAAAGTATGGAGAATATGAATATTGATTTTAAGGTGTAAAGGGTGAAGTGCGTATAATACAGAGTATCTTTCTTTTCATTAAAACTCTCGAATAGAGAATTTTGAGTGCATAGTACCAGTCCCCAAGGGCATTTGTTTGTTGCTGTATCACAAAAGAAAAATATCAGAAATTTATAAAGGGTAGGGGGGAGTCTAGATATGGATGCTTGGACAGAAAATTATACAGTTTACCTTTTTAGAGAAAGTCACTTGACAATATTAAGGAAAATGTGTTCAATAAGGTACCTTGAAAAGTTCTGGATGTCTGTAGTAGAGTTTTCCTCTTGTAGCAGCAAAACCAAGGGCTCTTAAGAAATAAATAAATAGTTTAATAAACAAGAGAACACTACAACCTTGCAGCATCTTATCTAAGTCTCCAAAAGAAAAAATATATTGACAAATAAATGCCATCACTTAAATCTTATTTAATGCCCTCACACTGAAGATGGTTAGGTTTTCAACTATGTGATTCACATTTTTTTTTTCTTTAAACAAAACTTATTATGGTTGCAAAACATTTGTAAACCTACTTGTTCGCTTTAACTCCCATGATGAATTCAGTGTCCTCAGTAATACTGTCAGGATCCCACTTTAATAAAAAAGACAATTTAAATGTTAACTATGTCAAGGAGGTTTATGGAGTTTTAACCCCATGCAAGTTTGACACCTACAAGTTTGTGCACCCTTGGACAGTTCACCCTAACAAATACAAAATCTTTTAATTGTTTTTATCTTAGGATTTTTCAAGCACATAAATTTTTTTAGGATCTTCCCATTTGTTGATTAACATGCTAAACAAAAAACCATGTATTGTTTACCTTACTGGTTATAGCTTTAGTGTCCACCTTGTTTATTTTAGGAGGTGATCCATCACTGGAAAAAAATAGATCAACAATACCATAAGAATCTTTATTTTGCACCCAAAGGAACTCGGACAACATCAACATCAAACCCAGAAGAAGACTTAAGTATGTTAGTCTTGGACACCCCTAGAGCGATAAGAGTTTTATTTCTCTCAACATCATCTCCCCTGAATCAAATATTAAGTTTATGAGAATAAAGGAAATGATCACAACACTCAAAAAGTTAATTGTTAAACAAATTCTCCTTGTCAGCACCTAAGGAAATGTATAAAGTACTGTAGAGAGAATATGCATGCTGATGCTGAGGTGTAAAGGGCTAAGAAACAGTAAATGCCAAATCAGTGTTTCCATGTATAGTTTAATTTTAGATAGAAATATCTTCAATATGGCAACCTTTTTAAATCCTTTAGGGATTGAGACTTCTTATAGTCACACATTAACGTAAGCTAAAATTTACCAGTAATATAGTCAGAAATCAACTCAAGCTAAAATGGATGCTTGCAGCATAATCATCTTTTTTTCATTACCTTTCTTTGTCTACATCAGGCCGTACCCTCTTCTGAAAAAAATCAGTTAAAAAAAAGAACAAACAAATTATTGTTAACAAATGTCTGCATTTAATGGTTATGTTCTCTTAGTCTTACCACATAATAGCTCCAGTTTTTTTTAAATCTAATTGTACATTTAATGGTTATATGTAAAACACTGGCAATGATAAGTTAACCTTTTGCTTTTTTCCTTTTTTGGTAATGTACATTAAGCTTTGCATATCAGTTTATAAAGTAGTTATGGGGGGGCAGGGCAGTCAGCCCTACCAGCTATGAGGGTAAATAAAGCTGCTTGTATGTACTGGACAGTACTAATTCAAAAGAGCTGCAAAACATTGAAATTCTCAAAATAAAAACATAAACTCTAGACTATTTGTAATGAATTGACACTAAACTTTCCTTGTCAATCTCTCAAATCTCTAATCATCCTTGTTATTTCATGGTTTATTCTATCCATTTCAATTTTTGATATATTTAGCCATTTTTCTCAAGCTGAAGGTTGGTGTGAATGTCACAGCAAACACCTAAATATTCATTGACAGAGCACCATTAAAACATTTGAGTCAAGAGTATGGAAATGTCATCATCAACATCACACATGCCTCAAATTATTTAAAGGATTTTAATGTTCCACAAGAAACAAACCAATAGGATACCTTCTTGACTATTGCAGGACTTCCCCCTCTATCATATCTCTGGAGAAAAAAAAGTCAATTTGCAAAGTTAGTTCTGGTCATTTAAACATTTACATGTAACTCCCAAGATCTGATTGTTGATTCTCCCCTTTGGCCACAAAACATCTCCTTGTAAATTAGTTGGGAGAACTTGGAGTTGGATCAAGATAACAACTTCTACCTGATTTGTCTGGAGTGAGTATTCTCATTACCTGTTTATTGGATTATATATGGATAATATAGAGAGAAGTTTAATGTTGATCACTCATGGGAGTTAAAGAGTTAAAGATATTCAGTTTAAGAACCCTGTTCTAAAACAAAGGTGAATGGTACCTCTGTACTAAAATCTCCACTCTGCTGTTTTGTTTTGTTTTGTTTTTTTTGAGTCTCTTGGATACAGAACAAATCTCTTTGTTTCCCGTAAAGTTTGCTAAACCTCTAATAGCAAATATGAATATTTCTCTTGAGAAGGGAAATCAACTATAATTAAATACTATTGCTATAATTATAATTATTTCAAATTTTTATCACCACTAGAAAAAAAATTAAAGAACAGTTGTCAATTTGCATTTTTTTTTGGATGAAATGCATCCATCCGTGTGGATTTCAGTTTGAACAGTCAACTTACAAATTGAGAGGAGAGGGGTGGGGAACTTGACCTATCATCAACCATCTCTTGATCACAGACCTCTGAAGGGTGGTGGCCTCAGTGAATTGTGTACTTACCCTATCAGAGTGATGAGGCTTTGTGTCCACCCTGAACAGAAGTTTGGCCTGTAAATCAACCATAATCAAAAGGATTTATAGGTGAGAGAACAGTGGCCTGATACTTGACATAGTAATTTGGTTATATCAACTCAATTGAAATTGTAAATTGGCCACCGTAATGAATAAAAAGCTGATGTTTCAAGTGTTAGCCCTTCATCAGAGCCACATGTTTGACTCAGCACAGTAAACCTTTTACTTCCCAGATCTCATTAGTAATTTTCCTTACTGTCTTCCATACAATTCTTAAATGAGGTAGTTTGGAGAATTTGGTAGTAGATCAACTGATAATCCCCTAATTTATATATTTTCTTTATATTCTCATCACTTGTCTGCTTGATTTTGTGTTGAAATTGTAAGGAGAAATGCTGTCTTGGTCACTCATGGGAGTAAAAGGATTAAGAGGGAATATCAAGATGATTCCTCTCTTTAGTACTATCATACCTCATCTAAGCTTCTCCTCAGGACAGCTTTAATCTGTTCCTCTGAGACTGATTCACTTGTGTTGTCTTTGATGTTATGCGCTGCCATACGGAACATCTACAAGGAACAATAAAACACAAAAATGTAAGTAAGAACAGTAAACCCTTTCAAGATGCTTAGGCTTTCCATCACAGAATACACATTGAACAGATTTGAGAGGTATGTCAACAACAACAACAACAACAACAACAACTTTATTTTTTTCACCCCAAAATATACAAGAAGGAAAAATTATTTTTTATATTACCACATAATATAAAAAATACCTCTTGATAGCTCTTTAAAACTGCCTCAATTTCAGCATTTAGTGAAGGCTGTAAAGCTGCTCTAACAAGTTCCAGGGCTTTATTGGCACTGACTGTGCTGCCCCTGTGAAAAGAAAAAAAGGAAAAAGGTTTTATACACAAACAATACAAGTCCCACTAAAGATTGGTTTTGGTTGGATGGGTAGCCTGTGAATAGGTAGCCTTTAAATGTTATATCAATAAGTAATTACATAAACAGAACATAAAAATTCTGAAGCACCACTTTTGAAAGAGGATTGAATACAAATGGAAAAATTGATTCAAGTTACCTTGTGCGGTTATAAGAGGCAACAGAGGCATGCATTCGGCTTCTGCAAAAAAAAAAATATTTATACCTAAAATTCTTTAAAAATCATATCAAAACACTCAATATTATGAATTATCACTAAAACCCAGTTTTTTGCCACTTCAACTTTTTACTGGGGATTACTTTGTAAAACAAAACTAGCACTTTTGATATTACGCCCTTATTTGATTGCTATCTTTGAGCTGCCTTCCTCGAAATTTCAGCTGGCATCCTAATTTCTTAGCTACAACCTTATATATATAATTACAGGAGTTTTAATAACTAGCTCATTTGTTATGCTTGTAAGACCAGAAGAAAACTCAGACACCATAAATGTTCTAGGTAGCTTTTCTATAATCACTGACTAACAAAAAGTGAACCTCTCTCAATGAACTCACCCCTTGGTTAGTTTTCACACTCCTTACCTTCGTTTAGGAAAGTTCTTTGCTGTCATGTTGAAGGGACTGGGTTCATTTTCCTGAGACTGGGGCTTTAAAGAACTTGTGTCAGCAAATATTTCAAACACATCTTGCATAAATGATTGCATTTAAAAATATCAAAACTGTATTTGTCTCTTTATCTATTACTTACTGGTACTGGTTTTCCCTTTTTGCTTTCTTTGTGCTCCTCCACGCTAGAGTCCATATCCCTAAAACAAAGCCTAAAACAACTTAACCTTTTAATTCCCATGAGTCACCAAAACAGAATTTCTCCTTACAATATCAATTCAATATCAAGCCTAGGAGTGATGAGAATAAAGAAAAATGTACAGGGATTATTAGTTGATCCAATACCAAATTCTCCAAACTTGCATTTAGAGAACTTTTTTTTTTTTTCAAATTATTTATTCATTTATCTTATTATAGTTTCTACTTATATTAGTTAGTATACACGTACAAATTTTGCTCATCAATGTTTTGTGTTTAAATAAAGTTATACTTATACTTACTTATACTGTATAGCAGAGATAGTAAGAAGTACAAAGATCTTGAGAGTGAAAGAGTTAAAAGGGTTACCATCAGAAGCTAGTTGTTCTACATGAAGTTGGAGCTGATACTATAAGAAAATTCATAACTTGATGAGGGAATTCTGCATTAAATTGCTTGCTAAAACCAACATCTCCTTAATCACAAAGTGACGAGTGTTATATCAGTTTTCAAGTGCAAGTTAACGCAGCATTCATGAGTCAAGTAATGGATTTTCCTTAAATTGCACAATTGCATAAAAACAAGAAAAAAAAGAAAACAGCATTACTTATAGTTGTTATGTATACACAGATGTGAAACAATATTACTTAGCCTCATTTTCAACTCACAATTCCACACTAATTACCTCGCCTCATTAACCAATCAGAATGCAAGATTTCATTTGACGATGCAATTCTAGGACTAATGGTCAGGATTGTCATTAGAAAATGTGCTAGATGTATGGTTTTAACTGATCTCAGTAGCTGACTGAGTTGAATTATCCTTGCATAGCAAGTATGGTGTGTTGCAAAGTAATGGGCCCTTCTGGGGAAATGCATGCTTCCCTCCGAAAATTTAAAATTTGAAACCTTCTGAGAAATGATTTCCTGCACCCTTGGACATATCTGATTAACTGTTTTTAACCAGACGTTTAAGTTAGAATCAGTTACTTATTTTCTATCTTAAGTCACAATTCGCAACATAAAATGATTTGGAGGACCACAGGTTTTCCTGAATGGTCAAGCTTGGTTTTCATTTTTCTCATGTAAAATTATTTGTTAAGTTAAACATCCTGTAGGATTTCATCTCCATCAAGAGCAAACCTTAATAAAAGGAAGCAGAACATACAAAAAGATCACGAAATTAATGAATCAATTCCAAAATTTATCCTCGCTCTGGCCTGGGTTAAACATGTTTTGAACAAGCTAACCCTCTACAGGAATGTAAACAATTCACAAAAACTGTCCAAATATTGATTTGATGGAACATAACAACATTGCAAATACACTGGCACTCAAAATTTAAGTCAGTTTGAACTGCAGTGTCTGTAAGTGGAGCTACATGCAATAAGCCACCGGTAGTCAAAATAAAAAAAGGGAAAAAGTCTCGAAATTCTGCACTTAATTTTGCATATCATTAAGATATAAATCTTAATATCAGGGGGTTATTAAATAGTTCTTTATACTTCAACAGCAGCTTAATGTTACCCTGGAGAGAATCTGATTTATCTGAAGCAGTCATCGACGTACTCTGCGCAAGACATGCGAATATTCAGATGTGTGTAAACGCAATAAATTGAAGTAGCAGTGAAAAGTAAATGAAAAGCAAAAGAAAGTAAATGGCTTGTAGATCAAATACTTTAACGCACTTTCTTTAACTTTTGTCAATATTGCTAAATTTAACCGGAAGAGACACAACTCCTTCGTAATGTGGGAATGGTAAAGGTTGGTCTCTTTGGTCTACAAATCCCAAAAGTTGCCACTTCCTGTGAGAGTTCTTCCGCTTCTAAATTTGTCACACGCTAGTAAAAGTCGTGGATCATAAACAACTTAAAAACAACAACAGCATTTGGAATAAAACGAATTCCAAACAATGACAATTACTTCACAATCGCATTGGTAGCACTCTTAAAAAAGAAATGCGATATCGTCTAAGAAATCCCTAGCAAATTTGTTCAGCGGATAAACAACATTACCATACATTGTGAATGTGAAGTAGCTGGAACGCAAGATTATTTGGATTTCTCCAAGTATGTTTTTCTTCCAGTTCGCGAAAAATATCGAAAGAATATCGTAGCGCATGAACACAGTCAAGGAGACGAAAGACGGTAATACCAGTCGATTGCCCTTCAGAATTTTCATCCCCGACTAAAAGCTAGACGTGGAACCCCTGGTGACGTAAAACGGCCATAACAGGCAACCTGCTTAAAGAAAAACGAGTCAAAATAACGAGATTACAAACTCACTTTTGCTTTCTGAATCCTCTTCTAAAGCCGTATCTATCATCGGTATTTATTTCAACTTCTCTCGCCAAATAAGCTCCCGGAGGCTCCGCCATTTTTATTTCCTTTCTTCTAAATACCCGTTTCAAGACCGGAGAACTGGTGACTGCCGGGGAAATTTTTATGACGTCAGTCTCGTCAACAGGAAAAACGAAAGAAGAGTGAAGAAATGAAAATAGAATGGGATGAAGCTGCAATGCTCTGTTACGGTTCTAAAACTTCTTATATAACTCACTAACGTCAATATGTATATTCTCCATTTCGATCTCCATGCATTTCCAAGGGTGCTGAATTTCCTAGAGCTTCTTTAGTTGATGATCATTTCTACTACTCTTGTGACCATAAAGTTTGGTTTGATACGATTCAGGGGTGCATGATATTGTAAGAAGAAATTAGATGCTAGTCAAAATGTCAAAGTGTTGAAGAGGTGGCTCCGATTTGACATCCAATTGGAATAAAGGAGTTAAAATTTGTCTTTCTCTACCAAAAAACAAGCTTACTCTTAGATCAAATTTATTTATTATTTATTTGTTTAAGGAGGACATGAGTCCCCTTCTTGGTTTAAATACCAACCCAACCCTCAAAAACTAAGCATCCTATCCCCTCTATCCCCTAAATCTAATACACTTACACACAAAAAAAAGACAATAACTAGAAACTAACAGCTACAAACCGAGTGGGTATTTATCTGACGACATTTAGGACACATTATTTTAAAAGTGCAATAATTTTCGCCATCAAAGACATTTAAGAGTCTGTTAAAGTAAAACTCCTTAAGCTTGCGCTTAAAAGAGCCAAGGAACACTGACTGCCTAGCATCAACTGGAATATTGTTCCACAAGGACATAATTCTAATTAAATAAGTCTCAAAAAGTAGATGTTTTGCTCATTTCAATGATTGTTCTCCTTTTTTGTCGTTTATTTTATTAACAATTCCATAAATGGGAACTGATAATGTACATAGTAAAGAAGAGTTACCAAAGAGCTTTTTACACGGGTTGATCAAGTTACCTAAACATTTAACCGACCAAGAAGTTCCAGAAAGCTTACAGAAAGAAGGTAACATCCAGAATCTTAGAGAGATGGTTGAAACAGGAATTTAAAGCATTTGTAGTCATACAAAACTAGGACCTCATTAGAAATAGGCTCTACCCCCTTTAATACCCCTTTCTCATACTAATCCTCACAAATTCCAGCTGCCTTGAAATAACTTCCTTTTCATTTTTTTGTTCTTTTGATATCACCAAAAGAACTGTAATAGCTGTCAGTGTGCTGGACTCTGGGTCGGATGGCCTGGGTTCAAGTCCTGTGTCCTTTAAGCAAGTCGCTTCACTCACATTGCTTTGTCTTCTCCGATAACACGTTAAGCTGTAGGTCCCGTCTCCTGCAGGGTTAAGGGTAGGAGACATTAATTTCCCACGCACGAGATTACTGAGTGATGGATGTCCTCCCCTGGGGTGGGATGTGTGGGAAGGTGAGATCATTACATAGACTGAAGCAGCTGCCAGAGGGCGCCTTATAAAATGCTGACGTGCGATCTCAACCTTAACAACAACATGTAAAGCGCTATTGATCAGCACATGTAAATATGCGCTATATAAATTGGAAGCAAGCAAGCAAGCAAGAGTAGTTACTGACTCAAAGGGAGTAAAGGAGGGGAATGGAGTCTTATGCATGTTTCATGCTTATCATAAACAACTTAAGGTTCATGTTTTGTGAAAAGCAAAAAAATTCACAGTTCACTGGGTTTTAATTTTGTTTTTTCACCAGTCACGAAAATTAAATAATCCTGTTTCATGCAATAACCCCTTCCCACAACTCCTATTAGGTTCCACCATCAGGAAAGGTTCTATACCCCTTCAAATATTGACACTGAAATCTCCAATTCAGTATTGTTCTTGTAAAATTGTGACTCTTCTTGTTAACAATAAGGTCTGAAAATTGTCCCATTCAGCTTCCAGTACTGAGCATCAAACTTCATGAGAATTTTTCAAGAGGGTAAGCCATTACATTTTGGTCACGAATTTTTGTCATCTTAAATTACTTGTAACAAATCACAAAATATCATTTTGCCCCCCTTCAATGGAAAAACTTTGTATCAGGTTCTCGACTTTCAAAATTTTCAGCATGCCACTTATTTTACATTACTAGACGCTACTTATAATATTGACTTGCCCAACACCTGGTTCCTCTCCCGTAACTATCCTTGCCACTGCTCTTAATTTCTATCTGACTGATTGTAATTGTACTTTACTGTGCACTATTAGTACTCAATAAGTTTTATTAAGACATAAAACTGCAAAAAGGAACGATAAAATGCAACGTTTCGTAGTAGTCATGACTCCATTATCAAGGAAAATATAAAAGATCATGCAAATTGCAACATATAAAGCGTTTTTGGTGTGAAGAATTAACATAAGAAGGTGCGAAGATTTATTGTAACTTTATCCAAATTTAAATTTCTCATTGGGGTTGCACCTTGCATGGGATACTTTTCCTGTTCATGCAATACCTTATGGTCTTTTTTATTTCTAATATTGACTTACTATAAAACATTCATCACTTCTTTACAACCATCTGTCTAAATGTGAAATTGATTCTGGGACATATTGCCTTTTTCCGAACGGGAAGGGAATGAAACCAAAACACATTGGTTGGGTGATTCATCATAAGAAGACTGCCGTGAGACAGTTCAAACTTAACAGGATCAATCTTTCTTTGCGCTGCTCTTCCTCTGGCATCTTTGTGACGGAACACAAAGTCTCTAGCTTGACCTAAAGACAGAGACGCAATGGAACTTTTGGGAACTAAATCCACTTCGTCATCTCTGTGTTCACCCATGTGATCTTGTCCATCCTTGTAGCTGTTCACAAGAACAAAGTTAAACCGACGTCCACCTGCTAGTGATGAAATCAAATCAGCTATGCATTTGAGAAAGGGAGCATTACTCCAAGGTTGAGCTGCTACTGTTGAACCAGAGAATGTGTATGTCAGACCTGCATCTCCATAAGCTGCTTGCTTTCTTGGGACATTGTGCCATTTTCCATGAACAAACACTTTACTGTCTGTGTTATACTTTATCACTTTCTCCGCTTCTTGAAAGAGCGTGTCAGCTTCAGTCTTTGAAAATAACTGCACATAATCGAGATTTAAACTTTCTGATGTTATATGTTTCCATTTGAGATCCATCTTTCTATTTTCTTCAAGAAAAGATAATTTAGAGCTAGAGGGTTTCTCGTTTGGATTGTCTAAAGCTTTCATCTTCGTTTCTGGCTCAGCCACGATTTCTTTCTCCTCCAGCTTGCGTTTTGCACATTTTGACTCTTTCTTGAAAAAATAGGAGTCGATCATATCAAAACGATAGCAATTTGACGTTCTTATTGTTCTCAAAACTACTACGAGCAACTACACAGAACTCTCGTGAAAGTAGTCAAGAAGTTACATAATGCGCAACATTGTTTAGGACGTTTTGTGCATGCTTACACGACCTGGTACCCATTTGCGAATACGCGAAGAGACTGGGTATAGAAAAGACCAATATGGCGGAAATTATGGCGAGTGAACCGTCCGTTTATCGTTTTGAGGACGTTCTTTCGACCCCTCAGAGCAACTCTCCTTGTGCGTTTTGTTGTAAAAAAGTCTCGAAGTATACATGTCCTCGTTGCGATGTTCGCTACTGTTCCAGTGTGTGTTATAAAAGTGATAAACACTTACAGTGTTCGGAGCTTTTTTACAAAGATTGTGTTATGGAAGCAATGTGCGATCAGCAGAGTAGTCGTGAAGACAAGCGTAAAATGCTCGAGTTGTTGCAAAAACTGAAAAAGCAGGATGAAGAAGAAGGTGTCCAGGATACTGTAGATCTGGAGGAAAGATTGCAAAATATAGATATAAACAATGACACAGACGCCGTGTGGTCGGCACTGACAAATAGAGAACGGAAAGAGTTTGAATCTGCCGTCAAAAGCGGAGAGATTTCTGGTGCCATTGACGTTTGGATCCCGTGGTGGACTAAAGTAAATGACGGAAATTACAGGTAACTTGCTTACAAAGACTAGACAAGAATTAATATCGCAAATGAGCATTACATCGGGGAATTAGAAAAGGTTGACCTGAGAACTTCAAACTATGCGAAGACATAGGTCCTACCCTCCGCTTGTCTTGTGGTACTATCAGGCAGTTTCTAGAAGAGCTTGAGTTATTTCCAGATTGTTCTCCTTTGGAGGTTGATTTGGCAGGATTCCACACACCCCATACCTCATGGCATATAAGGTAATGGCGAGTTATGCGATTATCGTATGTCAGTGATTTTGCATCACCAGCTCAGTCTGAACATAGTGTACAATTTGACCGTGTTAGTTAATGGCGTGAAATCCTACAGTATGAATATTACTGACCGGAAGAAATTACATCATAAGTTAGTGGCATAAAATCTTACAGTATAAACCGACTGATAGAAATAATACTGTCAGTTAACTGGTTAAAATCCTACAGTATGTGAATACAATGGCAAAAATGATAGATTGCATTTGAGACCTCAACTTTGTTTTGAAACTGGGTAATTTTGTTTTATCAGCTGAGTTGACAATGTGGATTGGTCACTGTAAAGAGTTTTACAGCTGACGTTTCAAGTTTTTGCCCTTCGTCATTTGCTCTGACAAAGGGCTAATGCAGCACTAAAGTTTCTTTTGAAACTTACCCCCTTTATTCATTTGCTTTGAAAAGCATGGGGTTAAACAGAAATTCTTGTGTTTATTGTAACATTTCTGAGTAGCACTTCCATTATGTTTACACAAAAGTCCTACATACCTCTTGTTATCCTCACATTATCCTGTTCTGACTGTACTATGTTTAATACTTTCACTCCCAAGATCTCATTAGGAATTCTCCTTACTGTCTGCCAGAAAATTCTTTTGTAGTTTGCAGAATTTGGTATTGGATTAACTAAGAATTCCCTAGTTGAAATATTTTTCTTCATTCTCATCATGTGTCTGCTTGATATTGTATTGATATTGTAAGGAGAAATTATGTCTTGGTCACTCATGGGAATTTAAGGGTGAAATTGAAGTTGCTTTGTTCATAGGTGGTTCTTTGAAAGTGCTCTGGTTTCTTGTTTGTGTTCCAGAAAGTTCTATATACAAACTCACTTGTACTTAAGATTTAGGCTAGGCACTTTACTGACAAGCACTTATTTATTTGTTGTTTAATTTTTAACCATTAACCATTCTTGCACTTGATATGTTTTGATAGAAAGAAGATAGAAGTTATAAGTGAAGGGAGCAGCATTTTAGAAAAGAAAGGTGAACAAAGTGATCAAATCCAAACTGAGGAAAAAGAAAGAATACAAAATATGCCAGCAGTAAAGAAGAACATCTCATCATTACAGTCACTCATGAAAAATTTGAATGTCAATCCAAATGTGCAGTTCAGCTGTATTGATGTTCTTTACTCATATGCCTACATCATGAGGCTGTACAATGGATGCCCAGAAGACAGTTTAGAACAGGCAGCTGAGAATTTGTTGCAGCTTTCCCCTGTTCTTTCTAAAAATGCTGTGTTTGGCAGTGTGGAGTCAGTAGCTCACAGTTCCTTGAGTGCTGTGCAAGATTGCAAGGACCTTTCCTGTTCTGAGGAATTCTCTCTTCAGGTGCTCCTGGATGTTATTTCTTTGATCAAAGGATATGTTGTTATTGAGAGAAAGAAAATAACCTTTGTGGACAGTGCTCTGTCTCATTTGTGTCAACTTCTCAGCGGAGGAAGAGAAAGATTGAAAGCCAACTCCAAAATGAACCAACAAGAAGCAGATTTGTGCAAGTCTTTGTGGCTTGCAAAAAAGAAAGTGGAGTTTTTATTAGCTTGGGCTCACACAAACCCTAATATTTTGCAATCTCTTTTACTAAACATGGAAGTTGTTCACACAGATTTATCCATGTCCAACAGACAACACAGAGAACAAAGAGAAAAGCTAGAACAAGCATGGGGAGGTTCAAAACCACCAATGAAGGCATCTCTTATCACAGAAATCTAAGTCAGAATTTGACATGAGAGCCCTTAACTACATGGTAGTATTATAGAACCAATCCCCAGTAGTTTCTGAAGCTAGCTTTCCTGTTTCATATTGAGGTTATACAGTAGAGGCTTAGCTTACTTAACCTTTTCACTCCAAAGATCTAATCATTATTTTCCCCCTCTAGCTTTCTTGGTTAGATCAAGGTAACCTCCGCCACCAGCTTAACTTATTCTCATTACCTACCTATTTGCTTGATAGTGAAAGGGGAAATTCTGTGTTGTTTACTCATGGAAGTTAAAGGGTTAACAAGCTTCTTGTTCACTAAAGTGATTTCTCTTGAGGAGCATTTTTAAGTCATTTGAAGAGAGAAGTCAATGTTGCATCAAAAGTCATGTAAGGTTTTAATTCATGCTCCCCTTTATTTAGCAATTTTTGCACACCTCATCAAGCTACAATGTTCATGGGAAGTTTAGAGAGCATGAGAAATGTGTAAGATTTCCTCTAGCGGGGACCAAGAGCAACTTTAGCTTCTTGAGTGCTCTTCAAACTTCCCAAGTGCTTAAAGTCCCAATGAACACACAGTTGACACATGTATGATCTGTTTCATACAGTAATTTAAATTCAGTATACTGCAAAATTCCCTCTGCAGCACTTTGAGGCATACATTGAGGGCAAGCACACTCATCCAATTTGATTTCATTACATGATTTTACAAGTTACTTCAAGGTTGAAAAAGAATGTGAACACTTACACTTCTAAAAAAAAATCTTTATTTTAATATAACAAATTTGTGCAAAAAAGACTTTTCACTACTATCATAAGGTGCACCACAATAATGGCTTTAGCCTTCACGATCCTTTTTAATACTGACTTGAACTGATTCCCCCTTAAATGACAGAGCAGTCCTGATTAATTCATGTCCAACAGTGTAGCTTTTGCCACCCTCACAAAAATCTTGTGCAAGTTCTCGCAATGTTACAGCAATTCTTCTGGAAAGAATATCCTGTCTTTTTATTGCATGCTTCCATTCATAGCGAGCTGGTCCTTGAACAATGATCAAAGACCTCCTAGGCATTGGAACAGAAACTTCAATATTATCGGTATCTCCACTGACTGAAAATGTTAGTGAGCTGTCTGAGAGAAGGTTCAGTGTGACTAAACGCTCTCCCCACACCCAAAAGTCATCAAAATGTGGATCAATAGAAGAACCTCTGTTTGGTGTATACTCTAAATTACAAAGTTCCACTGGTTGGAAATCAGACAAATGTGGAACTGAGCTCCACATCCGTTCCACCAAAACTTTACTGAATTGTGGTAGTCCTGTAAAGTTAACCAGCTTTAGTTTCCTTTTCTTAAAATTCACCTGAGGTCCAAAGTCCTGTGAAAAATTAGAAAACATGTAGAAAAATAAGAATTAAAAGTTGGGATAGCAAATTTGATCAACAAGAACAAAATAATCCTGCTAGACTGCAGTGATAATGTATAATGTAATCTGAACCTCAATGACACCCCACCCCCCTCCACGAGGTGGTAGTAAGGCAGCTCTTTCAGTAAAACCATCCACTCACCTGCTTTCGCCTTCCAGACTGTGATGGCTTCCAAACCGTTTTTTCAATATCTGCCACAATCGTCTCTTCTTCGATTTCATTTATAAAGTCTTGAATCACAGTAATACCTTCTAGTTTGATCTTCACATTACCAACATCTTTGCGATGCAGACATTCTCGATCAACAAGGAACGTTTCTCCACAAAGAATACAAAATTCATACTTTTTCATTGTCTTCTTGCTCTGCTCGTCTTTGAATATATTCTTGGATTTCTTGTTTTCTTCGCACTGTAAACACGTCCGAATACCAGTACAGCCACAATCATCCGCCATGTTAGAATCTTTTCAAACAGATATTTCTTTCCGACTTTTTGATTGGTTAATTTTCTCTCTATCCAATTAAAAGTGTTGTTGTATTTGACAAGTTGCAACGTTGCGCATGACAGCTGCCCTCTCCACACACGTGTTTCACTGTTTACTTCGAATGGTTGTGATGTGCGAGACTTGCGAAACAAATAGCCTTTGGTAGTGCTGACGAGATTTTTGAGCTGGAAGGATGTCAAGTAGTCCACAACTCACAATAGAGGACATCAAAAAGCGTTCTGGACGGGAAAACTTGTCTGAAATCCGACAACTCGAGTAAGTAATCTTGGAGGATCTGCAGGAAGCTTGTCGCAGTTTTATGTAATGGCAATTAAAATTCTTCTCCAGTTAAATTGTGAAGCTTCACCTTCATTTCAGAGTGTGATAAAATAATTTGGACCGTATTTAGGCTTAATAATATATGATTTATTGCTGTTAATTGGCGCTTTTTCCTGCATGTATGTTTTTTGTTTTCGAAAGGCTCACGATCGTGGTTAAAATGACCCGAGCTCCGCCTGCATCTAGTACCATGTGACACATGAGCGATGCAGCATGCTCGCTATGTTTATATTTAGATTATGGTCGTTTCAAGGAAGATGCTCGGTCATTTTTGTGATACTTTTGTCCTGCGTGCATTATTGATATTGCAACTGGCCCTGGACATAACAGCCATTGAGTATTTTACATCAACTGCATTGTAGCATACCTGATTTCCATCGTGAATGTTATTCGAGAACATGTGATCAACTCCTTGCACTGAAAAATTCTTTTGAGTTAGTTGTCAATTTAATTTGTTTATAACCTGTTTAACAATACCTCTCTTTTTGATGCTCTGTATGTGATATGTCATCATTCAGAAAGAGTTGTTCAGTGTTCTCCTTTTCTGTCTAAACAAGTGTTGCCTCACATTTTAAACACTATGTTAGTCTTCATCGTTTTAATCCATCTTTGTTCTTATTTGGGTATTCCAACTTGAGGCTTTTTGCCCCAGGGGAACAGAGTTTGTATGGGTTATGGGAAACCTGGAAAGTCCTGGAATTATATTTTGACATTTTCCAGGACTGGAAAATCCTGGAAAAGACAACAGCTCCTGGAAACTCCTGGAAATCTGCTTAACTCAAACAATAAAGTTTTCAGAATTTATATTAAAAGAAATATATGTAGGCCACAAGGAGAACTGATTTAGAAGTCTTGGGTATAAGGGGAAATTTGGAGTCCTGGAAAAATCAATCTGAGTCCTGGAAAGTCCTTGAAATTTGTTTCTGAAAAAGGATATCAGGACTGGACACCAACTGTTCAATTTACTAGCCAAGTGGCTGGTGACAACTTAGATGTTACAACAATTTCAGTTTGCTTACTAGCCAAACTGGCCAGTGGAAATCGAAAACCACAAGCTAAAACTGAATTTTTACTAGTCTGTGGCTAGTTGGCGACAGTTAGTATTGAGCCCGGGTATGAACGTTGAATTAAAAGCATTATTTTAAGGTTTTGTTGTACTTTTGTCATAAGTCTTGTAATGGTTGGTGTACACAGGGCTCAATGTAGCCCACAAGCCACAGACTAATAGAAATTCAGCTTTGGCTAATGGTTTTCAATTTCCATTAGCCAGTTTGGCTAGTACACAGACTGAAATTGTGGTAACATCTAAAAACATCCAAGATGTCACTAGCCACCTGGCTAGTAAGTTGAAAAGTTAGTGTCGAGCCCTGGTACACAGCACCAAATTGACACAAAATCCTGAAACCCAGAAGTTATAGTGTAGGGAAGGGTAATCTGATCCCATGCAGTTTGACATCCACTCAGTTTTATGAAACATCTGTCAATTTTACCAAGAGCATTAATGGGAAGAGAGCACTAATGGTACCATTAATGGGAAGAGAGCACCTTATGATCAATAGGGTTGAAATGGTAAATTGGCCACTGTAACAATTTAAAAAAGCTGATGTTTGGAGCGTTAGCCCTTCGTCAGAGCGAATGATTCGCTCCGACGAAGGGCCGATGCTTGAAACATCAGCTTTTTTAATCATTATGGTGGCCATTTTAGCATTTCAACTTTGTTGATATATCCAAATTATTTCGTTACCCCCACCGATGCAGCCCCAAACAGTTTCTTTAGAAACTATCAGCCTTTATTCTTATGATCAATAGGTTTTCATTGCAGTCTGTGATGATCACCATCAATGACTGCTTTTAGACAAGAAGTTAATCTGTGAAACTGTATTTATTTAGAAAGGAAGTATTCCTTTGTTAATTCATTACCTTTGCTCAATTTCCAATTTTAGTTTATCTGGTCTTGGTTTGACTTGCATCCCAGATGAGCTGCTTCAAGAGTTACCAAATCTTACAGAGCTTAATATGTCCAAAAACAAACTGACGGATATTAAAAGTGAAAAAGCTTTTCCCAAACTCAAAGTTTTAAGTGTAGCCAACAACCAGCTTAGTAATGTGGAGGGACTAACTGCATTTTCTAACCTGATTAGTTTGGATGTCACTAGCAATCCAACTCTTGAGGTAACAAATTTCACGTTACATACAAATTACATGTTACATATAAACAATGAGGAATGTTTTTTTTTTTT